TCCCTCAAGGCAGTATTTTGTCTGTCACTTTATTTAGTATCAAGATTAACAGTTTATCCAAGGTTTTAAACGATTCCATTGATGGATCACTTTTTGTGGATGATTTTAACATTTCTTGTCGTGGTAAAAATATGCATACTATTGAACGGCAATTACAGTTGTGTTTAAATAAAATAAATAAATGGTGTCTTGAAAACTGTTTTAAATTTTCCAAATCCAAAACTAATTGTCTACACTTTTGTAGAAAATATAAACCGCATAAAGATCCAGAACTATCTTTAAATGGCACTCCCATCAAAGTTGTTAAGGAGGCCAAATTCTTGGGTCTAATCTTCGACTCCCATTTAACCTTTTTGCCGCATATTAAATCACTTAAAGCCAAATGCCTGAAGGCACTTGATTTGTTGAAAGTTGTTTCCAACTCAAAGTGGGGAGGGGATCAAGCTACCCTGCTCCACCTATATCGATCATTGGTCCGCTCGAAGCTTGATTATGGCTCCATCGTATATGGTGGAGCCTGCAAAAGCAATTTAAAACTTCTTGATTCTGTCCACCACCAAGGCCTAAGACTTTGTCTTGGGTCCTTTAGAACCTCTCCTATTGATAGTCTATATGTTGAAGCAGATGAGCCTTCTCTTAAACAACGTCGGATAAAATTATCCTTACAATACATTACTAAACTATATTCTAGCGAGTCTAACCCTGCATTTAACTGTGTCTTTCATCCCGTCTATGAAGATTTATACAATAAAAAACCTTCTCTTGTTCCGCCTCTTGGGCACAGAATTAAGCCATCCCTGTCCGCTGCCGGCATTGAGCTGGGAAATATAGCTCCTTCCCGTCTTCTTTCTTCTCCTCCTTGGCAACTGGTTAGGCCTGAAATTGACCTTACTTTGACACAGTTTAAGAAATCTGAAACTAATGAATTACAATATAAACAAGAATATAATCAACTAAAAACTAAATATAATACACACAAATCCTTATTTACAGATGGGTCCAAGGACGGTGGCGCGGTGTCATGTGCCACTGTCATTGGATCCAGAACAATATCTTCTAGAATACCAGATAACAGCTCCATTTTTACAGCAGAAGCCAACGCCATATTAACGGCTCTTAAATATATTCAACGACATCCCAAACATAAACAATATATCATTTTTTCTGACTCTCTTTCTTGTCTTCTGGCTATTAAAAATCTTTCTTGTAAGCATCCACTTTTATTAGAAATTATTGAATTGTATAATGAACTTGCTACTGGCCAATGCGACATCGTCTTTTGTTGGTTACCCAGCCACGTTGGCATTTCTGGGAACACAATGGCTGATCTTGCTGCTAAGGCAGCACTCAACAAATCTGTGACACCACTTCTTATTCCTTACTCTGACTACAAAGCTTGCATTAGAACTTACATCCGTGATCTGATGCAGAAGAAGTGGGACACTCAAGTAGGTATTAATAAACTACATGAAATAAAACCTTATATTGGTTACACTCACTTGGGTTGTCAGTCCAGATTTGAAGAGGTCATTATGCGACGATGTCGCATTGGCCATACAAGGTATACTCACAACTACTTGTTGAAAGGTGAAGATCCTCCGTTTTGTATCCCTTGTGATGAGAAAGTCACAGTCAAGCATCTCCTGCTTGACTGTGTCGAATTCTCCATCATAAGGGATAAATATTTTCATGTTATAACTGTTAAGGATCTTTTTAACACTGTTCGTGTTCATTTAATTCTTGGTTTTTTAAAAGAAATTGATTTGATCACTGATTTTTGATTAATATGCTCTGTAAGTAGATGTATTTTAACGATTGGTAGTTTAGATTGTTAACTTAGATTGTTCGTGGCAGTGCCCTCAAAGGGGGTTGACGTAGCGTAAAATTATTGTCCTCCTGAGAGGGTACATAAGTCCCAAAACATTTCGAGTAAATTTCAGCGTACCAGGTTTTTAATCGTAGTATATTTGTAATTTTAATGTATGGCTAAATCTCAGTATAAACGCCAATGGCTGAAGGGATGGTGTAAATCCAACTAGGGTCCATGCAGGTAGCAAAAGTAATGTAAGCCCCCATGGGCCTTAGTATGGTGATCTACCTTCAGTTGTTGGCGATCTATAGCCCATTTTTACATTGTATTGTCTTCTTTAATTGGAATATTTTAGCTTTGTTCGCTAGTTTTATATTGATATCTGTGATTCTCTAGTAGTTTTACTGTCCTTCGTCGGCAGGTTTTTATAATAACTATATATATTCTATTACAATGTCAAATGTTCTCATCACGATATGGCTGAAATATTGCCGATGTGACGTTAAATACTAACTCACTCACTAAATCTAAATCACAGTGCTGACAATATACATGACATATCAGCAGCTTATTATCATGACCATAAGCACAGCCATGTACAGGTCAGCTGCCTGCGTGTAATTAACCCTAATGAACCTTAGAGTATGGCCGGTTGGCCACGGAAGTTTAACATTGTGGATGGGGTGCATGCTGTATACTGCAGGTTGACCATACATGTATCGTAATACGAATCTGTGGCAATTTCGAAATCTAAATAACACTCGCCTACTTTATATGAGCTAAATCGTTTCTAACTATTTCAAATATAGGTCTTTCCTCTTCTTTGGTGCAATAAATTTTGATTGGCAGTAAATCTATGTCAGTTCAAAAACATACACACTCAGAAACGGATTCGGCTCGATGTAAAGGTATACTCATATATGAGTGTAATATATCAGCATGCTCATATATCAGTGACACCAGGTGTTCGAGAATAGGGTGTCAATGTCCTGCATCACTATAGTGACACATACACACCATATGCCATCCCGTGGTTATGACACAGAGTTACCTGGATGAGGACAGGGACCATGTCAGCGTGACCCCCACATCACGACACACTGGCAGAGGAAGGAAGGACAACATAGAATCCATGGTGACCCCCACACCACGACAAACTGGCAGAGGAAGGAAGGACAATATATAATCCATGTTGACCCCCACACCACGACACACTGGCAGAGGAAGGAAGGACAATATATAATCAATGGTGACCCCCACACCACGACACATTGGCAGAGGAAGGAAGGACAATATATAATCAATGGTGACCCCCACACCACGATACACTGGCAGAGGAAGGAAGGACAACATATATTCCATGGTGACCCACACACCACGACACACTGGCAGAGGAAGGAAGGACACTCTGATAAGGAAGGAAGGACAACATATAATCCATGGTGACCCCCAAACCACGACACACTGGCAGAGGAAGGAAGGACATCATAGTATCCATGGTGACCCCCACACCATGACACACTGGCAGAGGAAGGAAGGACAACATATAATCCATGGTGACCCCCACACCACGACACACTGGCAGAGGAAGGAAGGACAACATATAATCCATGGTGACCCCCACACCACGACAAACTGGCAGACGAACGAAGGACAACATATAATGCATGGTGACCCCCACACCGCGACACACTGGCAGAGGAAGGAAGGACAACATATAATCCATGTTGACCCCCACACCACGACAAACTGGCAGAGGAAGGAAGGACAATATATAATCCATGTTGACCCCCACACCACGACACACTGGCAGAGGAAGGAAGGACAATATATAATCAATGGTGACCCCCACACCACGACACATTGGCAGAGGAAGGAAGGACAATATATAATCAATGGTGACCCCCACACCACGATACACTGGCAGAGGAAGGAAGGACAACATATATTCCATGGTGACCCACACACCACGACACACTGGCAGAGGAAGGAAGGACACTCTGATAAGAAAGGAAGGACAACATATAATCCATGGTGACCCCCACACCACGACATACTGGCAGAGGAAGGAAGGACAACATATAATCCATGCTGACCCCCACACCACGACACACTGGCAGAGGAAGGAAGGACACTCTGATAAGGAAGGAAGGACAACATATAATCCATGGTGACCCCCAAACCACGACACACTGGCAGAGGAAGGAAGGACATCATAGAATCCATGGTGACCCCCACACCATGACACACTGGCAGAGGAAGGAAGGACAACATATAATCCATGGTGACCCCCACACCACGACACACTGGCAGAGGAAGGAAGGACACTCTGATAAGGAAGGAAGGACAATATATAATCCATGGTGACCCCCACACCACGACACACTGGCAGAGGTTCACATTCTGATAAGGACAATATATAATACAAGGCTACCTTAACACAACACTCGCACATAAACGGACGCACATAGTCTAGGGCTTGATAACGTGTGTTTACTGAAGATTTTCCGGATGTTAGCATTTTAGATATTTAATTCTGTGTTCACATATGATACCAAACTCAGGAAAATATCATTTGAAGCCAGTTTTCAAAGTTTTCCCATTTTTGAATCATTTCCTCGTCTATCGAGGTTAAATTACCTATGTATATCACTCGCTTACAATGCACATCACTCACAACAGCCAGTTACTTGTTTCAAACATATTAGATATTTGAAGGTGCTTAAGATATTCCACAAAATACAAGAAAATGCGCAAATAATGAATCATTTTATTGTTACATGCACCGCACGTTTTGAGGCTACAAAAGGAGGTTCTTTCAAAGCAAGTGTTAGTTATCTGCACTTTGCACAGAGTAAATTCAATCTCCACGCATGGTGTTATTGTCCTAATACTTCCTGTTATTGCAGCACGAAGTGACCTGCTATTTTAAGGTTACGTTGAAAGTGAGAGAATTGTGACTCGTGCACATTAAATGCAGGTTTCCATTGCCCTGTTATTTTACACTCGTCCTATTGCTGGCGCCTTCTTTCAACAGAGAACAATGTCATGTCGGACAGTTTTATCGTTGACGCTCACCATTGTCATCATCCACGGGTAGCGACTGCGTTGGGGAGCGGGAAGACAGACAGACACAGAATGCGTGAAAGAGTGAGTGAGTAAATGAGGGGTTGGGAACGCGATTGTGTAACGACAGCCGTCGCAAAGCTTCGTAATACGAAAGACACACAAATACTTCTGGCAACTGGCAGCAATGCAGCTATGCCACTATATAGTATCATATACTGTATCATCATAGAACTCAGTGTTTTATTCAAAACTGTTGCGCCAGAATTTGAAATCTTGATTCAGTTGTACGTATACTACTTTTTCGCTAAGGATCACATTTTGAAGGCATAAAAAGGGGTATACAGATTTAGGTTAAATCCCGATACACAATTAACCGGTGTGATAGCAGGCGCACGTTGTTATGAGGACGATGTGCCCGTGGTGCTGGACACAGTCCTGTTGATGAATCGTGACAGAATCGTCTCACTTCATTTGAAGCTAACACTTTGAAGCTAACGTTTTACAGTGGCGATCCTTATCAAACTGTGAGTATCATAGATGGCAATAATACATTGTCAGAGGAAAACAATGGTGGGACCAATCTCACCATCCTCAACATCATAATAGGCGTGATCGGAATGTCGGTTAGTAGTGGTGATATCGCCCTGCACTGACGGTAAATACTCCAGATAGGCCACCTCATCTTGATGCATCTGTTCCCTCTGTTCAACCTGCTCCCTGCAACACACAGATGTGGAATATGTACACACTTCGGTGTCTTGTATTGTTCTGACAGAAATACAGTTGTAGAGATAAATGCTAGATTGAAATTGTATCGGTGATTGTTTGTTATTGGTCTTCGTGGACAGGTCTTATAATCTAAATGTATTCATCATGTATTTATAACTTGTTTCAGTCACGATATGAATGAAATAATGCTGATGTGACTTTACCTCACTCACTCACTCACTCAAACTTACATAATAATGATAATAAGGTCACACCCCACTTCTCACGTCAATACAACATAATGGACATTATTACCCCAGAAAAGCCAAGCTGTCTGCGAGGCGTGAAGGGCCTATGACTTGTCCCAACTCGTACCCATTTTCTGCTGGGAGAACAGTAGACATTTTGAACAAACTAACTTGCCTAAGGTGGGACTTGTGTCGTGTGCTTCGTCGCAGAGCAGGGTTGTAGTCTTAGAAACTCTCAACCATAAAGCTACAAAACACGTTCACGCGCCCAAGGAATCTCCGTGACCACCGTTGTTTAACTTTATCTAATATTGCTGTTTCGTCGCCAGACAAATGAACTTAAGATTTGATTTGTGGTTTGTGCTAAATAGTCGATATGTATATGTAATATCCAACTGTGTAATGTCCCAATCGTCTCAAATAAGTGTATACATTGGTGAGCCAAAGTCAGGATGAGTGTAATCCAAAATGCAATCGTACCAGGATATTGCCAGCCAGCACATACTCACCAAATTGACTCCTGGTTATCGGCGAAACTTGTGGTCAATGATATGGTGGATGGTATACCTTATGTTGTGCGAGATTGTTGATTCTAATTCTCCTCTCATTTAACACTAACAAGCAGCGATCAAGATGATGCCAATGATCAAATCTCATATACGAAATTATTAACCTGCATTGGTCTTGCACAATAGAACCTGCAGGGTTGTTAAACTGTCTAATATTATAAACGTATTTCCACCACTGAAGAGCATTGTCAGTGTCTTGCTATTAATGTAATATATTAATCACTGTTTAGTCTGGAGAACACAATACGTGCTACAAACTGGAGTGTTCGCGCAGTGACTCTTACAAAAACACGAAACACACTAACCTTTGTTTGGCCAAACGCCTGTAGTACAGCAGGCAAATTGTCACCAAGATGCCGGACACAAGTAGTGGTAGTGACACCAACAGCCCAGCCAGTACAGTCCTAGTCTGACCACCATTACCTTCTGTCAAGCAAACAGACAAAACTGACACTAAACGTGTGAAACAGTCCAGACAGTACAGCCCTTGTCTGACCACCATTACCTTCTGTCAAACAAACATAGAAAACTGACACTAAACGTGTGAAACAGTCCAGCCAGTACAGTCCTTGTCTGACCACCATTACCTTCTGTCAAACAAACATAGAAAACTGACACTAAACGTGTGAAACGGTACAGTCAGTACACACCTTGTCTGACCACCATTACCTTCTGTCAAACAAACAGACAAAACTGACACTAAACGTGTGAAACAGTCCAGACAGTACAGCCCTTGTCTGACCACCATTACCTTCTGTCAAACAAGCAGACAAAACTGACACTAAACGTGTGAAACAGTCCAGCCAGTACACTCCTTGTCTGACCACCATTACCTTCTGTCAAACAAACAGAGAAAACTGACACTAAACGTATGACACAGTCCAGCCAGTACACTCCTAGTCAGATCACCATTACCTTCTGTCAAACAAACAGAGAAAACTGACACTAAACGTGTGACACAGTCCAGCCAGTACACTCCTAGTCTGACCACCATTACCTTCTGTCAAACAGACAGAGGAAACTAACACTAAACGTGTGTCACAGTCCAGCCAGTACACTCCTAGTCTGACCACCATTACCTTCTGTCAAACAAACAGAGAAAACTGAACAAAAAGGAGAGTTCTATGGATATACACCTTCTTTAATATGATATGAGCGACGTTTCGGTGTAGCTACTAACACCGTTATCAAGCAAATGATGTACAATACTAGATGCAAGGTATATTTATATACATAGTAAAGTTGAACAGTAAGTGATGATGTTTACACAATTAATGAGGTAGATGTACAGGGTGGTGGATGTTTACACAAGGGGCCAATAGTTACACAAAGATAGTAAGATAGGGGTTATTACACGGGGGGAAGCCAGTGATATGACAGACAGGAGAATAATAGGATTAAGATTGCTTGGTGATGAGTTGGTTGTAGGCAGTGGGGATGTAATATCCTTGGTCTCTGTTCATGGCCGGTTGGAGTCTCTTGATGTGAATGGCTTCTAGTAGCTTTCTGATCTTGAAGTGGGTGTGATTGCTGGTGAGTACATTGATGCTGTTCCATAGGATGTTTTGGTCTGGGTGAGCTTGGGTGTGGTCAGAGATGGCGGATTTAGAGTCTTTCTTCTTCACAGAGGCTTGATGTTCTTTGATTCTTACAGGAAGTGGTCTTGAGGTTTCGCCGATGTACGAGTCTCCACAGTCACACTTTATGTGGTAAACTGTGCCTGAGGGGTCTTCTTTAGTTGTGGGGGTTGGTCTGCCATTGGCTTTTAGGTGGTTCTGTATAGTAGTACCTCTCTGGAACACAACATCAATGTTGACTTGGTGTTTCAAGAGTCGGCTGATCTGGTGGCTGGCTGAACCTATATAGGGCAAGCTTATGATGATCGGAGCTGTTTGATAGCGTGGGGGCTTGTTTGTCGGGTTGAGGGTGACGTTGATGGTCGCTCATAATATATTAAAGAAGGTGTATATCCATAGAACTCTCCTTGTTGTTCATCATACCACCTTCTAAATGCCACTTAAACAAGAGAAAACTGACACTAAACGTGTGACACAGTCCAGCCAGTACACTCCTTGTCTGACCACCATTACCTTCTGTCAAACAAACAGAGACACCTGACACTAAACGTGTGTCACAGTCCAGCCAGTACACTCCTTGTCTGACCACCATTACCTTTTGTCAAACAAACATAGAAAACTGACACTAAACATGTGAAAAAAGCCACTGTACAAGAGAAGAAGTACACTGACAGTGAAGAAACCTTTGGTAGTGAAAAGGTTCGACAGACAAAGTAGATTAACAGATATTACTTATGCAAATACTCACGTAGGTCATTCTTACAGCCTCCCTCCTTACAATCTTCGCCAAATCCAGTGCAGTTTTCACATCCACAGTTCTGCCCCTCAAATGGCGGATGGCATTCAATGCATCCCCCTGTCGATCTGTTGCAGGTCTTGCATAGTTTGGAACACGACTGACAGTCAGACCCGTAGTAGGAGTCTATGCATCCAGACACACAGGATGACCCCAGCTGACAATATCCTCCATCACAACCACCTGGACATGCTGTACAGCTACCCCATTGTCTGTAACATGGTGTGTTGCAGCTCAAGCCTTGGTGTCCCGTGGAACATCCGTCAGTACAGTTAACATCGCCATTTCCTGATTCTGTGCATTTCTTGTTAAGACAGTTCTCACTACATGAAGCGTTGCATCTCCGACCGAAATACCCAAGTGTACACTCCAGACAATTCCCTTTTCCGTCACAGTCGGAACAGTGCTGGTTGTCCTTGCAGGAGACAGCTGGAATTGTAGAGCGTGTGGCTGCAGAAGAATGAAATGTAATCACCGAGTCTGTGTCATGAACGTATTAACGTAGAATACTTTATGCTTTTCGTGTTTGTTGAGTGAGACGGTTAACTTATTTCTGCTTTAACGCAAAACTCTGCAATATTCCAGTTATATGTGTCAGTCTGTAAATAACGGAGTTCAGACAATCCCGTGATCAACTTCATGAGCATCGATCTACGCAACTGGATACGATGACACGTGTAACAAAATCAGCGACCCTTACCACCTGATGCCGATAGTCGCATTTTAAGAGAAGCATGGGTTGCAAGGACATTTTTGTTGGAAACTTTTACACCGACATCTTCTCCTATGTCCCTGCCCGATAAATCTTTCTAACATTACATTAAGGTCCACTTGAGTTACTTGTGTAAACTGTGCTTCTTTCTTCTTACCTTGCGTGGAGATAAGTGAGCAAACCAAGCACAGAAACATCAACCAGGCCATGCTTGTTGTGAGGAAGTAATATATGTAGTCCTGAATGAAAACATGCGCAATCGGTGTTATAACAGTTTCAAAATATTAACTAGGATAATAAGCGTTGTCGTGAAATGGTATCTAAATAAAATGGTACTTACATTAACATTGTATAACGCTTAAGTGAGAATAAACAACAACATATTTTGTTTGTGTTTCCTGATATTAGAAAATAGAAAATTCATCGAGCTGGTTGGGTTCACTTTTCTATTCCTTATTTGCTTGAAGCTGTGCTTTTGTTGAAATGTCAAGGGCGTTTGAATGAAAACGTGAGATAGTTGAATCCTTGTTTATATTTTGAAAGTATTTCAAGATTCGTCAACATGGCAGAATGTCAACAACAACAATGTCCAATGATATACATCGTTTCCCGTGTTATATGATAGGCGTGATATCTTATGGACATGTCTGTGCCATATGATATATCATATGTGAGTGAGTGAGTCTATTTTTAGGACACTTTTAGGAATATTCCAGCAAAATCACAGCATGGGACGCCAGAAATGGGCCTCATACATTGTACCTAAGTGTTGCTGGTGCAAGCTGAGTCACATGGTATGTGGTATAGCATAAGCTATGTGTCTTTTAATATATCTGTTATTTCCTATGATATGTACTCACTGTGACAGATATCAATTAATATGTTATATATGATGTGTAGTACGTGATGTCTTGCTTGTGGGATTTACAGCGTGTGCCATACAGTATTATGTGATGTGCGTCATGTCCAAGTTCTGATATGCTTTATGTGAACTGCTTCACGTGATATGTTGTGAATTCTGCAGTATGTATCATGTATCATTATGTATCATGTATCATTATGCATCATGTATCATGTATCAATAAGTAACATGTATCATTATGTGTCATGTATCATTATGTATCATGTATCATTATGAACCATGTATCATTATGCATCATGTATCATGTATGATTATGGATCATGTATCATGTGGCATTATGTATCATGTATCGGTGTGTGTCATGTATCATTATGTATCATGTATCAGTATGTGCCATGTATCAGTATGTATCATGTATCATTTTGTATCATGTGTCATGTATCATGTATCTTGTATCATATATCATGTATCATGTATCATTATGTATCATGTATCATGTATCATGTGACATGTATTATGTATTATGTGTCATGTATCATGTATCATTATGTGTAATGTATCATCATGCATCATGTATCATTATTCATCATGTACCATGTATTATGTGTTATGTATCATGTATCATATATCATGCATCATTATGTATCATGTATCATGAGTCATGTATCATTATGTACCATGTGTCATTATGTATCATGTATCATGTATCATGTATCATGTATCATGTGTCATGTGTCATGTATCATGTATTATGTATCATGTATCATGTATCATGTGTCATGCTAGAGATGATTAGTGTTTTCCCTATGATCCGAAAGGTGAAAACAGTTCCAAAAATGTCCTGCAGATTTCCAAGTATTATGTTTAATTGTTCATACATATGTTTCTCAAAGACTCAAAGGGCACAGATATTTCACTGAACATGAACACTAAAAAGAAACTAAAACGCACCAAATGGTAATATCAGTTTTCTGTAATCATAGAAGGGCAGGGCGGCAAATAAATGCTAAAATGCCTGGGGAAACCAGTACTGACAGGATGTGTATCGTGTTATGTGATATATGATGCGTCACGTGATATGTATCGTGTGATGCCACCTGTTAAGATGGTATGTGTCACGTGTCATTGGATACATAAAGTGATATTTAGTTTATGTTTCGCTAACCTCATCTAGTCGTTCCATGGTACACATATGATCCATCAAAGGCACCATTTACTTTGTACTGTCGAGTCTAACCTGCATTTGCATATTTTATAGGGAAATTGAGCGACATACTGTACAAATGTGACTTATTTAGACAATTGACTTGAATTGTCTTCTATTCGTTGAACACCGAGATTGTAACCTATCCTGCTACAGCAATACATATAACCCTAATGCAGCTGGTACACAAGCGAGACGTTTAATGACACGAGTTTCCATTGATCGGTCACACACACAAACAAGGCAATAGGCAGTAGTGTTGGCGAGTTGTAAAGAATAAACTATATTCAGTATTCCGGTGATAGTACCTTCCTGTTGCTACGGAATACTATTCTGTGATGCAGTATGTGTGATCGGTTATTGAGGCGTGTAGAACGAAGTTGACAACAGTAGTACAACACCGACAACGAGTAGTCACCAGGCAGACAGAAGATGGAGTTTAGGACGTTACTGACAAACTCAATTATGGTCGTATATAGAATAACAACTGTGATATGTGTCGGAATAATCGAATATGTTTTAAGTTAAAAACACAACACATGACAGTAGACAGTTCCCAATAATTCAATTCTTTATTTTCCAAATGTTTCGCCTTCAAAGTTATATTTACAACGATCTGTAAGCATGGCCTTATATAGAATGGACAAATGAAAACCTTTCAATATCAATGAGAAATCCAAGCAATAGATTGGAACAGGACAAATGCAGAGATGTTTGAAGTTTGTAGAGATAGGTATGAATGACTACGACTGTTAGATATCATTGTAGATCACACTTTCTTTTACGGCTATTCAAGAGGTTGTGAATTGATGCATATAATGCTATTTCACCTTTGAGACGGAGGAAGTTTCTGGGAAAGTGCAATGTCGAGTTCCTGTTACGTTCATCATGGCGGCGTACGCTGAGTTGGTGATATCTTAAATTATGGTAATTATGTACAAGTGAATGAAACATGTTTTGAAGCTAGTGTGTGTGTGTGTGTGTGTGTGTGTGTGTGTGTGTGTGTGTGTGTGTGTGTGTGTGTGTGTGTGTGTGTGTGTGTGTGTGTGTGTGTGTGTGTGTGTGTGTGTGTGTGTGCAGAGGTCTTTGGATGAATGACGGGAACAGACGTGGTGCTGCTTTGTTGTGTTCTTAAACTCGTCTGGGGCGAAACGGGAGTCGTCTACGACGAACCAAACAAATAATAAGAAATAATAATTGTAATGGTGACTGAACACCGACAAAGCTATTGATGACACAACTCTCGGTCGAGCTAGTGAGTGAGTGAGATAATATTTAACGTCACATCGGCAATATTTCAGCCATATCGTGACGACAACATTTGATATTGAAATGAAATATATGTATATTATAAAAACCTGCCGACGAAGGACAGTAAAAACAACTAGAATATCACAGATATGTATGTAAAACTAGTAATTAAATCTAAAACGTTATAACTATAGGGGAAAACAATACAGTATAAAAATGGACTATAAATCGCAAACAACTGAAGGTAGATCACCAGACCATGGGGACTTACATTACTTTTGCTACCTGCATAGACCCTAGTTGGATTTACACCATCCCTTCAGCAATTGGCGACAGAAGAGAAATCTAGCCATAAATTAAAAGCACACATATTCGACGATTAAAAACCTGGTACACTTAAATTGACTAAATGTTTTGGGACTTACGTACCCTCTCAGGAGGACAATAATTTTACAATACTTCAACCCCCTTTGAGGGTACAGCCACTAACAATCTCAGTTACTAATTTAAATTACCATAATAAAATATTTATCTATTTACAAATCAGTTAACAAATCTAATTCTCTTAAAAATGCAATAATTAAATGAGAACTAACATTATTAAAAAGATCCTTCATAGTCTTTACTTTGAAATAGTTATCCCTTGTAATGGAATATTCGATGCAGTCAAGCAAGACATGCTTGACTGTGATTCTTTCATCACAAGGGATGCAAAACGGAGGATCTTCGCCTTGAAGCAAATATTCATGGGTATACCTTGTGTGGCCAATGCGACATCGCCGCATAATGACCTCTTCAAATCTGGACTGACAACCCAAGTAAGTGTAACCGATATAGGGTTTTATTGCATGTAATTTATTGATACCTACTTGGGTGTCCCACTTCTTTTGCATTAGATCACGGATGTAAGATCTCATGCAAGCTTTGTAATCAGAGTATGGGAGCAGAAGTGGTGTCACAGATTTGTTGAGTGCTGCCTTAGCAGCAATATCAGCCATCGTGTTCCCAGAAATACCAACGTGGCTGGGTAACCAACAAAAGACGATGTCGCATTGGCCAGTAGCAAGCTCATTATACAATTCAATAATTTCTAATAAAAGTGGATGTTTGCAAGAAAGATTTTTAATAGCCTGAAGACACGAAAGAGAATCTGAAAAGATGATATATTGTTTATATTTACGGTGTTTATTAATATATTTAAGAGCTGTTAGTATTGCGTTTGCTCCTGCTGTGAAAATTGAACTGTCATTGGGTAGTCTGGAAGATATTGTTTTGGACCCAATGACAGTGGCGCAAGCAACCGCGCCACCATCCTTGGATCCATCTGTATATAAGGATTTATATGTATTATATTTATTTCTTAATTGACTAAATTCTTGTTTATACTGTAAATCATTAGTTTCGGATTTTTTAAATAGGAACAACAATGGCATCACGCCACGAAGTTGGGAAATTCCCTGAAGTCCATATTTGATCAAAAATTCCTAAAAGGATTTCTAAACATGATTCCGGCAAATGTTTCAAGAGCTGATAGTGAATGTTATCAGCTCCTGTTGCTGTATCATGAGCTTGCTCAAGGGCGGTATTGAGCTCATGTAACGAAAATAGTTCGTTATAATCTTCACCATTGTCTGAGGTAAAATTTATTCTTTTCTTCTCCTGTTGTTTCTGATACTTTTGAAACTCAGGGACATAATTTGATGAAGATGAATGCTTGGCAAGAGTTTCACCAAGTTTATTTGCAATGTCAGTTTTATTAGTCAATAAATTATCACCGTCCTTCAAATGATGAACAACAGATTTGGAACCTTTGCCCTTTATTCTTTGGATCATGTTCCACACCTTTGACATAGGTGTACGTGAATTTAATTTAGAAACATAATTTCGCCAAGACTGACGCTTATTTTGTTTAAAAGAACGTC